TGTGGGCTAACAGAGAGAGAGCCTGGGCCTGCAGTTCACCACAGCATTACCTATCAGCCGTGTAAGTGCCTGGGCGAACCTTTTAGAGACAGAGTGCCCAGAACCCAAGCTGTACCCCCAGCCCACATTTATCGCAAACTGTCAATATTGCAATCAAACCTGCATGCTCGGCTGCTGGGGCAGCTTGGCTTACCTGCCCACAGAGAGGGCTCTGCAGGGCCATTATGGCACAAGAGCCCTATGTTTGCCACCACTGGCCTAGATGAAGCTATGATTTTGCTTCACGTGTCAGAAAGTCTGCAAAAATTGGCTCAATGTTATTCAAGTGATTGAAATGACTATAACGTTGGAACAGTTTGCAGAGCGCACGGTGAGCCACCGTACCTGGCAATCATTTCCTTCTGCAGCCTGCAGGGTTGGGTCTCTGAGCACCTGTATGTCCCTTTCAGCTGAGTGCCAAGAAGAATCTGCCCTTGGTGGCAGGGACACAAACTACAGCTCTGTTTACATTTCCGGCTGACTGGCACACACACAATCACAAAGGAAAAGCAAACAGTGGAAAATGACGCCTTTCATCTCCTCAAGGCTGTGGACACACAAGGCCAAGTGTGGCTGGGGGCTGAGGCCTAGTTCCCCAAAGTGACACGGTTTTCTGGCGGAGGGTCCCTGTCCGTAGCCCCACGGACACTAGCTGCAGTGGGTTGTGGTTTTTAAGTGAAGTTTGGACATGAGGCTGGAGGCTGTCTGCAGGAAGCCGCTTAGAGCAGGTGGAAGGGAGGGGCAAGGAGTCTCTTTGCTGACCATGCAGAAAAGAGGAGCGTCTTGGCATCTGTACCCCTCACTAACTCCCTAGGGCAGGAAAGAGCTCCAGGCGAGGCATTGGACATTTCAGGGGTCAAGGCCTGCCCCTCTCTGGTTGGAGCCCCCAGCTGCTAGCACTGCCCACCACCCAGTAGCACTCTGTATACTGGAGCTGACGTAAATAGGAGTGGGGTAATTCCTGCTGCTCTGTGTTCTGGAGAAACACTTCCTAAACCCAAACATGCAGTCACCTGTTAAAATCTGGTTCTGGAGGGCCGGCCAAAATAGCTCAGCAGATTAAAGTGCCTGCTTAGACAGACACAGCGGCCAGGGTTCAGTCCCCAGTGTGTGATGCGCTGTGCGGACCCCGCCCCCGGGGCACGCTGAGAAGGCGATTGAGACTGGGCGTGGTAGAGCGCCTGTAATCCTAGCTCTTAGGAGGCTGAACACAGGTGGATCACTACGAGACCCATACAAAAATAAATAAAATAAAATCTGGTTCTGGGATGAGGCTTGGGGGTCAGCAAGTCCCACAAGCTGGGGCCTGGGGCTGGGGGTAGAGGTGGGCTGTAGGGGAAAGGAAAGGATGTGCTAATGATGCCCAGCTTCTGCCCACACTGTGGGGGCAGGCTTTACAGGGTAGGAACCCGCAGGGAGGCTTTGGGCAGCAGTGCCCCCTGGCAGCCTGGCCAGGAAGCTCCCCTGGATCCCATCTCCCCACCCTACATATCCCACCACTACCATGTGACCAGTGCAACCAGGCTAACTTGCCTTCTTTTCCCCAGGGGAGGAGCGCCCCCGGGAGCCCCCGGGTCCAGCAGAGGCCTCGGCACCAGCAGGGTCGGAGGCCGGCGGGAGGACTAGCCACAGG